TAGGCTGAGGGGAATATCCCTCCCTCTCTGTGAGCTCCCAGAGTCCATTCATATACTAGGGTTAAATAGTGATCCACTACCAGAGGCCCCATAGACTGCCCAGCTACAGCTTTAATTCATAGTCTCTATGTACTTATGTTCCACTTTCTAAAACATAATTTTGACTTTTTATAAAATTTCGACTTTTCTCAGAATGACTGAAACCCACCTCTTGACAGACTTGTTTGTTAAAAGAATGACAGCACAGAGTCACCATAATGCAGAAAACATGACAATGGTTCTTAAATATACTTTTTAAAATTGGAAAGCCTGATAATTCACTTTGCATCCCAAACTGAATGATCTAAGAATAGGAAAGTAGCATATATGGTGGTGTTTGTTCAGTTTGCTACATTTGTGAGTGTAAGCGTTTTACATCAAGTAATGAATATTATCGATGATGTTATGAGCAAAGCTAAGACAAAAGTTGGTTTTTTTCCCTGTGTGCCTACAGATTACTGGGACGGTACTAGATATTCAGAAAGTCTAATGGTCTATTACATCTGAAGAAGTTGTAATTAATAAGCACCCAAATGAAAGCAATTCTGCTCACTTTGGTGAGAATAGTTTTTACTTGAGAGTATTTCTAGAAAGAGATGGTGTGGAGGAGACAGAGAGGAAAATGTGATCAAACAAACACTAGAGGAAGGAATAAAATACTGTAAAAAGAGAATAAAGTTTAATTCACAAATGGAATGGGAGTATATATGGTCCCGTACAAGATTCCAGAACATACACGAGAAAGGGCATCAAGTGAGCCTGGAATTCTTGAATTCCAACATTAAAACAAACAGCTTTCAGGATCACACATTTCTAGAAGTTTATCAGTTGGTAGAGTCTGGCATACAAGAAGCTCTGGATTCAGTCTCCAGCCTCATAAACCAGTGGTGGACACATACCTGTATTCCCAGCACTTGGGAGTTGGTGGGGAAAGAGGCAGAAGTTCAAAGCCATTCTAGGCTACAGAAGACCTTGTCTCAAAATTGTTTTGTACCAAATTCTAAAAAAAAAAACTTTTCTTTTTCGAAGTTAAAATAGAAACAAGATTTAGACTAACATGAAGCACTTCAACACAGTCCAGAAGACCATAGAGAGTGGATGAAAATCCCCAGATAAAAGAGACTGCACTCCAGAGTTCCCAGTAACAGGAAAAGGTATCAGGCACCCTATAGAGGGAGAAAGAACATTGTCCCCTGTGCTGGGACTAATGGAAGGCCTAGGAGCACTACAGAAGAGACCTGACAGTTTAGAAGCAGCATCCACACTGATGCTGTCACTGAAGACCAGCTCTGTGATACAAGGGGCAAGAAAGGACAGAGGGACAGGAAAGGAATGCTGCCAAGAAAGAATGTGACAATGATCTATTCGACGCTAGTCCAGAAAAACCCATGCATGGGCCAGTGATGGCGCCAATGGGGGAATGGGGAGAGGAGGGCACTTCAAGGTTCTCATACCAGTGTGGCAAGTAAGGGTTAGGCATTCCAGCAAAGGGCATGACTATGCTTATTTCTCACTAGGACTGGAGATGCAGCTTGGCTGTAAAACTCTTGCTTGGCAGATGTAAGATCCTGGGATCAATTCCCAATAATGTATGTATTTAACTAATTATTCATTTGTGATCCTCTGGACATAATGACTTGATAGACAGACTAAGGAATATCATCAGGGGTTGGAGAAATGACTCAGTGATTAAGAGCACTTTTTGCTGTTCCAGAGGATCAGGGTTCAATTCTCAGCACCCTCATTGTATCACACAGCCATCTCTAACTCTAGTTCCAGGAATCTAAAACCCTCTTCTAGCCTTCCTGGGCACCAGGCATGAATGTAGTGCACAGACCTAAGTCCAATCACATAAAACAAAAATAAATAAAATTTTAAAAAAGTATTATTAACCTTCCAAAGTCACCAGAAGCAAAGAAGAATATTAAGAAGAAATGTTACTGTCCCAACAAAACATAAAATAAAAATGAGAAGATTCAATAACACAGGAACATAAGAGGTAAATATATACAGTCTTGGAAAATAAAATCAAGGCTGAGAATGGCTTCATTTCGTCTATCTAAAGAAAAGGTTGCTAATGCAGTTTTTTAATGCAGCATGAATTCTAGAAACAGGTGCTGGAAGGAAGGGGCTCAGAGGCCAGTCCATCTCCCCAGACCTCTCAGAGTTTTGTGAGAAGGATGTGGTGCTAAAATCACCAAAGGGCTGTTTCTCCCAAGATGGTGGTATTCTAAAATGACTCTTCAATCACTATCAGAGATAATGAGGGCCTGAGATTTACCCTCCCAGCTTCCTGATAGAATACCTTATGAGACCTGCATTTATTAGACATTGCCCACTAGCAATCAATCACACTGGCTGCGTTCTCCACACTGCTTTCAAAGCAGTCTCTCAAAAGCAAGACTTCAGCAGGTCATCCAGTAACATGCCCATTGCCTGGGAAGAAGCTCTTCTTGTATAGTATTTTTCTGTAAGGAAGAGCCTCGTACTACCCCAGACTCATGAAAAGGAGACTTTGTTAAATTTTACATTGGGTTCCAGTGAAGACTGGGCACACCCTAAGACTCTCAATTGCCATATTTTACCACCAAATACAAAGTTGGTCAGAATCCCGCCCCTGGAGATTTATGTTATTTCTCTCCCACTTTAGTGGAGCTGGGCACAGCTGTGTTCTAATGATGGTTCTGTCACTGATTACTGTGGGACAAATCACTTAGCTTTTCCCAGTTTGTGAGTCTTTCTTGGCAATGCTTGAGGGTAAGAATCCCTACAGTAGCATGGGAAAGCCAAGCCTTGGAAGCATTAAAAGTATTACAGAGGGCCCCTAAGTCTTTTAGTTTACTTGAGTTTGTCTGTTTCTAGCTGTGAAAATGGGAGTTCCCGGGTATACATACCCTGGTGGGGGCACTTTGAATATGATTACTGTTAGTGTATTTATTATCACCTTTTAGCTGCTCGTGACTCCATCATTTTGATACCTATTATTGGGAAATGGCATTCTACATAGTACAGTTGTCCGTGTGCTGAAAATAACTAACATTGGTTTTATCCTTTGGGATCCAGGTGACTATTCCAGAAGAATTTATTAATCAGCTTAGTTTGGCATCTTGTGATAATCCTATGGTTGAATCTACCCTCCTACAGAAATAGTACCCCTACTCATACAGTTCTTTTGAGTATAACACCACCACTGTAACTCCCCAAATGGGTTTGGTATACAGAAAACTTTTGAGTCAGTACAAAGAAACCATGCAGTAACTTACACAAATTTTCTTAAGAGAAAATCAAGGATCTTTAGCATGTCCTCATGGTCTGAGTAGCCTGACCCCTGTCCTCCTCCTTCTCAGCCTCATCTTGCATCAACCCAACTTCTTCCCACTGTGCTCAGCGGCACCTACCCTGGTCCAGCCCTCTGACCTTCTTTTGAACACTACGGATACTTTGTATTGACCGTCAGTCCATAAAGTTTTCTCTGCTGCCTTGACACTGATCTCCCCCACTGACCCCTATTTGGGCCATTTCCACAGGAAAGCCTGTGTGGCAGCAGCTACATTCGTACCCTCCCTACCAGACCTGAGTCCTTGGTACACTCTCTCATCGAAATGAGTTGGGCCTCTACTTGTCATCAGTTCATAGGGTTATTTGATTGACTTCTCTTCCTTTAGTCTCGGCAGAGTGGGCATACCTGGTTTTGCTCACCATTGTTCACACAGGAGCTCAGCACCTCCTGCAGGGCAAGTGTCCAGTGCTGCATGTGTGAACAGATGAGTGGACAAGTAAATGAATGGACAAGTGAATGAATGGACAAGTAAATGAATGGACAAGTAAATGAATGGATGTCCCTGCCATGGCGATTCTTGGGTCATTTATGCTGCCAAGAATTTCAGGAAGAACGCATAACTAAAAAAGCAGTGTCCCACAGCTGTTAGTGGTACTTATTCCAGGTAAACCAGCCAACTTTATTTATTCCTCGTTCTTCTTAAGAACACTTGTGTAACTCTGGGACAGCACAAGATGGAATGCCGAACAAATTCAATTTTAGTCTTAACATTCTTTTTGGAATGAAAAGTAATGTCTACTTCTTTGTACCACTGAAAAATGCATTTCTGGGTGGGCTTATAACACTGACTATTCTGCTTTCACTTTTCCTATTAAAGACATCCCCTCCCCAACTTGATGTCTCACTTCCTTTATCCCAATTTCAATAGCAACAGCCATAGTTATAGAAAAAGAAAAAGATAATATGTAAGTGTATGAAATAAGAAGCATTAAAAAGTGTATAATAATTTACATTGCACACAGTCACATTTAACTTGCCCCATGTGGTCTGATAAATGCAACCCTCAGAAAAAAATCAAAGGCACCAGACTATTAGGTTTACAGGGCCTGGTGAAGGCTTCAGTCATCCACTCTCCCTTTTTATTTTAGATGGCCCCCATATTTAATGTCTAGACACCTTATAGGAGCAGGCAAGATTGTCTCTAAGAAAGAAAGAAAAAAAAAACCCATGGCTAGCTATGCATTTAAGACGTAGAACCATCCAGGTAAGATTAAAGTCCAATTTCTTCTTTTGGAAGGTCATCCACTTTACTCCCTACTATAGAAAGATTCCCAGCCCAAACGCCAGGGCTATTGAATTTTCATTCTGTTGACATAACTTATCTTGCCTTTCATCTTTCTCTGAAACAGTGAAGCCAGTCTTCTACTTTACCCACTGACAGGTAACTCTGAGCAAGTAATTTAAAAATTTTAATGGCCTGTTGAAACATACTTTTTTATGTTAAAACACAGTATCAAAAGAAGCAACGCAACTCAGTGCCATCGCTCTGACAGGAGACTCGGAGCACTGAGCAGTGGGCTGGAATGCTTCACAAATCCATTTGTACCAAGTTTTCCTACTTTAAATTTTTTTTAATGTTCACTTGAATTATAAGTTAATATGAAGAAGGTGGGCCACTCACCTGTTAAAACCCCGATTTGGAAGCAGAGGGCAAAGGCATACCACAGATATGACTTCATGTCTGCCAGGAGCAGCTACAGTCCTCCCCTTCCAGGGTTCAAACGTGGCAATGAATTCACGTTCTCGGTTGTTTTCTGTTTTCTTGAGAGGAAGTGGGTTTGTGGAGGTTGATGTAGTGTCACATTTACCATCCAGTTAAAGACTCTACACGGACAACTTAACACAGCGCCTCCTCCCGCACATCAAGAGCCCAGTCCTGCATGAATGAAAGGATGAGTGTATGAGCCGATGCATGAATGAGTGAATGGATTTTATTTTCAAAGCTATTTATGTGTCATTTGTATGGTGAGGAACTTCATGGGCCATTGATAGCAGCACTGTGTAGAAGCATTATTGTTTATGGGGTGAATATCTTGTTGGTCATGAAGACCAGAGGACAATGCTGCCCTCATTCTGGTTAGAGACACAAAGTCTATTGTCTTCAGAAGCCATTCATTTCAGAAGTATCTCTAGATCAATAGCAGCTGGGGACTGCAGGATCCAACTCACATGACGAATAAGACATATTTTTGACACATTTCTGTCTGGGCTATTTGCTCCAGAGATAAAAAATTTGGTGAAGTAGGACAGAAAATAAATGAAGTTATTGAAGAAATTGAAATTTTAAAACATCTGAATGAGGAACGTTCCAGGAAGTTGAAAAATAATATTTACATGGTGCTCATTATAGATCATAGTTTTGTAAATGGTAGGGTCAGGTTTAGATCAACTTAACCCCTGATCTCTATGTTACAGCCATGAAAACTCAGGAGCCTGTCTGTAGGAACAGGTACAGATGAAGCAAGAAAGCTAAAAGCCTGATAAATGCTTCTGCCCCTGAAAAATAGATAAGGGAGATGGTAGCAATAGCAATAATACAAATAATTTATTTATAGATACCTACATTTTATGTGAAATATATCTTAATTTAAAAATATACCTAAAATTTAAACATAGAGGGGATGAGGAGATGCCAAGCATGAGGACCTGAGTTCAAATCCTTAACAGCCAAGTAAAAACCTGGGTGTGGCTCACCATACCTGTAACCCTAGCACAGCACAATAGGGCAGAGACAGGTGGATCCCGAGAGCTCACTTGCCAGCCAGCCTAGACAAAATGGTGAGCTTGGACCCTTGAGAGACCCTGTCTCAAGCAGCAGCCAGGAGAATGAGAGAGAAAAACATACACACACACACACACACACACACACATACACACACACACACTTCAATATAGACTAATACATGTTTACATTGTATAAAATATATCATACAATGAATATAGTTACATTATATTTACATTGTTTTATATGGATTTTTGTATATGTATTTACATTATTATATATTATTAAGTTATGTGTTACTATTAATCACTTTATGTATTGAGCGCCATTATTTTTCCCATTTCACAAATAGGCACAGAGAAGTAAAGGCCTGGTCCAAGTCCTATAGTAAATGTCTGTGCTGACATTTGAACTACTTCCCTAGTAGTTCTACTTCTCCATCTTAATGAAGCAGAAGAAGCCATTCATGCCAAGGCCTGTGATCCCATCACTTATGCCAAGGCCTGTAATCCTGTCACTCAGAGGTCTGATCTGACTTCAAGAATGCTGGATCTAGGCTGGGCCTCTTAGGAGTGACTGACCCTAGACCCTCAGAAGTGAATTCTAGGGCAGAAAATTATGTCACTTGAGAGTAACCAAAGTGTCACTCTGAAGCAGACCCAGGTTTGGAGCTACAGAACCACAGTTAGAGATACTAGAAGAGAACCTAACATTAGAAGCCAGGGTGGGGAGTGTAGCTGATCATGCAGCTTTCTCAAGCCTCCAGGGCTGTCCCTTGGTGTCTTAAAGTGTGAGTAACTCCCAAGAGTGGAAGGGGTTTCCAAGAGAGGGCACCGACATTCAGCCTTCTTGTCTAGGGTCCTTAGAGCATTATGACAAAGACTCGACAAAGTCTGAGGTAAATGACGCAAGACTAACTGCTCTCTGGGCCGTTATTGTTAAGACATGGAGAGTCCAAGAAGTTGTTGATCATGCACTGTTTGTATGTTACCCACCCAGTTCAACGGTTGAAGCTCACTCTACCCATCTCTCACTTGTAGTTTGTTCAGTGCTGACCTTGACTCAACCCAGGCTATTGTTGCCATGATCTACCTTCTTCTGTATGTCTTGTTGGCTGCTAATTAGACCCTTTTCTCCTGGTGCCCCTATCTCCATCACCAGCCTGTAGCTTTACTATGGCAGGGACTTAACTATCACAGTCATGAAGGTATAGCTGCAGTCTTCCTTGAATACTACATATTTTGCCCATCCTCATTACAGCATGTGCAAGCAACTCATACTTTTTAGTGTGGGTCCTTTCCTCTTACTACCTTCAGAGAGCTAGCTAATACATCACAAATATGGAGTATTTTCGTGAACACCAAGGTGCCTCAATTCTAGAGCCAAGCTACAGTTTCTTGAGAAAAATTCAAGGCAAGAACCAAATGATGAGCATTTACCAAGCACCTGTACTGTTTCTAATGTGTTCATTCATTCAGTTCTCCCAACAACTCTACCAAGGAGATCACACTCCTGGGTCATGCCTGAGAAACTGAGAGTGAGGGGGGATTATGCAATTAGCCCGGGTCACATAGTTGACAAACAGAGGAACCAGGTCAATCCCAACACAGTGAAACTCCAGGTTCCACACTCTACATTACCATCATACACACTGATGCCAGCCCATGTTCATCTGGCCAGAAATTACTGGTTGTGTTTTTATAGGGGAAAGTCCTGAATTAGCCCTTTAGCTTCTCTTGTTCTTGTTGAGTTTTTAAAAACCATTACATATAGAAGTGAGGTGCCGGATCATCATTCATCTGCCACTAACTTTGCTGAAGATGGCCTCTCTGATTGAAGCCACCCAACATGTTCTCACCATTTTCACAGGGGGGAAGATAACTTTTGTACGGTTAGTAATTCACTGAAGAATTAACTAGTTCTGGGAAATGGAGCTAAAACAGCATGAGTCATAAGACTTTCTAATCAGTAACTTTTCTTCAGATTTAGAGAATCCAGACTTTCCACTGACCGCAGATAACAGCAGCCCACAAATTACAGAAGCATAGCATCCAAAGTCTATAACTACCCTGTTGCCGCCCCCCAGAAATCCCTTCAAAACCCACATGCCATAGCCCTTGTGCTCCATTTGCTGGCTTGATAACTTTACAAATAAATCTAGCTCCTTGCCCTGATAACTTATCCTTGAGTCGTCAGCTTTTTCCATTCACAAGCAATGAACTTGGGTTTAGAGTTACATCACTTCCTTGGCCTCCTATGTCAATGGAGGGAAGGGTACTCAGGTCCTAAAGGAACTTCCAAATTCCTGTAATACGAAAAGCAACTTTTCTAATAAAATGTAAGTGTAGTGTTTCTGCCTCAAAGGGGGGAAGATTGAACCAGTTATGGTTGAATTCCACTTTAGTACAAGTGGCTATGTATGTTTGTATTTGATAGGAATTTGTTTGTTTCTACACACCCACTATGCTTCTCGAATATGTGGAGCATTTGATACCAAGCAGGGGAGCAGCAAAGCTAGCTTCTATGTAAATGATGTTTATCACCAACATCCCAGCTATGGGACCCATCCCAAAATCTCTGTAAAGAATACAAGTGCTTAAGGTTTTAAATATTCAGAATCGCTTTTCTTGTGCCTGAAAAACAAACTGAGAAAAAGAAAAAAACTTTCCATTCGCCCCCAGTAAGTACTTCTTATTTGCTTGTTTTTTTCTTTTCTTTTCTTTTTTTTTATTCCATGACTTAAGAGGGTTTTGATTTGTGTGTGCAGATGCCTGGGCAGAGGTGGGGAATGGAAAATTTGCTACATTAAAGGTAGAGCATGTGTTAGTCGTGTCTCTTGAGCTGCTGAGTTCCCAGTGCCACGTGCTTTCTTCTCTCCAGAGCTGCAGTTAGTTCCTCTTGCCTGGATTAAAGCTGTCAGACAGCAAATTTGAGTGAGCAGAGGAGTTCCCACATCGTGGCCCTGAGAAGGATAATGCAGAGCTAAAATGAACATCCCAAAGGTACATACGAGTACCTTAAGCTGCATTTGCCATTTTGAAATGGGCAGGCGTGGAAAGAGCCTTGTCCAAGTAAGTCAGAACTCTGACGTTCTCTCTCTGGAGTAGCAGCTCCATCCAGCCACTCGACCAGCAGTCTTTCTCCCATTGCTTCACAGTGAGCCTCAAACCCTGTCCTTGTTAGCTACGCCTCAAGTGTTTCTCTTCCTCTCTTGCCAGGGCCATTGCACTGTCAGCATCTAGTATCCCTCGCTTCAGCTTCTAGCCTCTCCTCACGCCACTTCAAAGTCTTCAACCAACATCATACGTGTAACTATAATTCATGTGTGCTCCCTCTGGTGCACACTAACCATGGCTTCCTGTGGCCGTTAGGTGAGGATCAAACACCTCACGTGACCCTTTCTTTACAAGTGCAACTCCCTTTCTTGTTCCTCTCATCTCTTGACACATCTGTTCTTTCCTCTTCCTGCACCAAATGCTTAGATCACACTGAGTGGTGTGGTTTCACCAAATCCCCCAGCAGACAAGTCCCCATGCTCCCAGGAGCCCCTTTCTTGTCCCTGCTCCCCCTCCCCCTCCCTCTCAGTGTCCTTTCTTCCACAGAAACCCTGCTTGTCTTCAGGCCTTTGTTTTCACACTCATCAGTTGGGAGAGGAAAACTTGCCTGGGTGATTTCAGTCATCAACTATTGATGGCTTTTCTGCTCCCATTAGATTCAATGCCTTGCCCCCATCTTAGGACTCCCGACGGATGAGCATGGTGGCCTGTTTGAGTAAGTACAAAGACTGCAACTGAAAAGACCCACAAATTCATATACACCTGTATTGTCTTCCCCAGTGGTCTAGTGGTTAGGATTCTGTATGTCCATATGCAGCTGTGGTCAGATAAGACAACATCATGGGCCCAAAAAAAGCAATGGAGAATGGGAGACCCCAGGCAAAATGGTGGCAAATCCGCTCCAGTT